TCTGCATCCCTCATTAATCTTGAAATGTATTTCCTTCACTACCATGAGCACCAAACAAGTCAGGATTACGACTACTAGATGCTTCCCCAGTATAAGCAAATGTGGATGGTCCACTATGTATGTCATGGACAATTTCTCGCACCTCAGTATTGGAAGAATTTGATTTCTCTATCACATCATTGAAATATTCGTCATTTTCATTTTCCAAGGGATCACTGTCATTCAACTCAAAATCTTTCCCATGATACACCTACCCAGTGTAAGTTGTGACAACCCCATATGCAAACAAATGAATTTCAACTTCATCTATGGTTTTTTGGATACGGTTGTTGCATCTATTACACGGACACCAAATCTTACTCGTCCCTGATTTCATATGATCACGAGCAAACATGATAAATTCTTTTACCCCATCAATGTATTGATGTAACCTTCTATTATGAAGTTGCATCCAACTCCTATCCATCCCGAAATCCCTATTACAAAGTACACAAAGACATTATCCTTCAATTCCAATATCTTGTTACTTTCTATATGTGGTCTTAAAGGAGGAACACAACTCTTGAAGAAGTTTCACTAATATGTATATCTACTTTTGACTATGTGATTCATATCTATCTTTTGACAAATAAAAATTTAGGGATGTATTGCCAAGGCACACCACATAAAACAAAAGCAAAAACAAAAGCAAAAGCAAAAGCAAAACATCAAGACACATAATAACATTGATAACAATCATATCCCCACTTTAAAAAAAAATAAAAATAAATAAATAAATAATCGCAATGTTAAGTTAAATAAGGTCATAAATCAAATAAGGTCAAACCCCTATAAGGAGAAGAAAGGTTTGGCAATGTTAAGTCCAAGTGTAATGGCTATAGCATACCAAATGGCTGTCTATAGGAGGCTGGTGATTACGGCAGCAAAATCCAACAAGTAAAGAAAGAAAAACAAAACATAAATTGCAAACATGCATACATACACTAGAAAGAAGTAGAGAAAGAAAAACATAACATAAAGCTGAAGGAGAAGAGTAAGAGCGCTTTTGGGAGCTGTGATTTGGGTGTGCTGGGCAAAACGTGCTTATGATCTTGGACAATACCATTTCGGCTAGTTGGGATTGAAGATGTTGAATCTAAGCGTGTTTTGATTGAATTGCCTGGAGTTTTAAGGGATAAGAAGCAACAGGAGGAGATTAAGACGAATTCTGGGTGTTTTGATTAATTAGGTTTAAAAACCTCATAACTACAAAAGTTTCTTCCTCTCTAAACATTATTTAATACTTTATATATACCATGGTATTATATTTTTGACTAATAAAAATCTGTGTTTTGTTAAATATTTTCGGTTGGCTGATTTTTTTCTGCATAAACAATACCCAAAAAAAAAAAAAAAAAAAAAAACATAACCACCCTTCCAAAAAATAAATAAATAAAAAAAGTAACTAAAAAAATTATTAAAAAAAAAAGCGAAAAAAATATTTAATTTTTTGGCACATCCCTACATATAACCAACCACCCTTCAAAAAAAAAAAAACCAAACACAGCCCAACAAATAAAAAAAAAAAAAAAACAACCAAACCAACATAACCCGACAAATAGAAAAGAAAAAAAAAACAATTGGAGGCATTTGAGCCTCGATTTGTTGAGGCACCCGAGCCTCGATTTGTTGAGGCACCAAGCGTTAGTCTTAGTGGAAAGTCCAATTCTGTTTTTGATTTTAACTTGTCAAACACAAACTCAACCTCCCATCTAAGAAAGAACAAAACACAAACTCAACTTAAATAGTTACAACTATTACTCTGATGATACTGTTATTGTAGCATGAATTTATAAGAGTTGAGTGTTTGAACTTATGGTGATATATTGGCCTCTTTGAAATCAGAACTCAATGATCATTTATTTTTAAAATCTATCAACTGAATATCTTTTCAAATTAATAAAATGCTTCAGTTTTTAGATTTCAAAACAATCATACATCCTCCAATCTTATTTCTTTAAACAAACTATCGCTTGTTGATGTATGTACCACAACTTCTAATGTATAGATAGATAGATCACATTTGACAAACCTTGCTAAAACTAGATTTAGTTCAAAAGATCAAAACTTACAACCATTGCGATTTGGTACAACATGAGAAGAAGAACCAGAATGCATATATTACAACTAGTGATGAATTTGTATCGATCTCACAAAAGATCAGATGAGATCACAAGATGGTGCAAGGATGTGTGCATGGCTCGTAAACTGGCTGGTAAAAAGTAGTATAGAACGGTGGCAATGGATTAGGGTAGTTATGAATATATGGATTATCTCTTTCCTGCAGGCTTTCTAGTTTGGGATGGCGGTGGATTAGGCTTTCATAGGATGGGAGAGTCATTGTGTGGACTGTGGCGAAGGAAGGGGATTAATGGGATGGTAAGGTTTTGAAGGATTTTCAGACCCTTGTTTGGGATGGTAAGGTTCTGATTTCTTAAATGATCTGTTTGTTTGGCACAATAATCTATTATAATGCAATTCTGTTTGAGGCGTAGATTTCATTATTGATTTATATCAAATATGGCAAAAATAATCAGAGAATAGATGATATTCTTGTATCCTTTTTCTCTTACGCATCCCTAATTCTTCATCTCCAACACGTATTAGATTAGACATACATATATATACACACACAAGTTCAATCTATGTAAACAATTGTTCAATTCCAACAAGCATTAAGATAAGAAACAAGTTCAGTCTCTGTAAAACACAGATTGAAACACAATAAGAAATTGAAAATACAATAAACAGGTCGATTACGGAGATTGGAGATCGATTATGATAAACAGAGATTGAAACACGATAAGAAATAAAGTAAGACATAGATTGAAACGCGCTAAAAAATTGAAAATACAATAAATAGTTCAATCTATGTAAAACACAGATCGATTACGATAAGAAATTGAAAGTTCGAATTGGAGCTCTTACAGGTCGATTACGGAGATCGATCACGGAGAGAGAGAGAGAGAGAGAGACGCACCAAAATTTGAAAAAAATTGAGCTCCCAATTTGCGTTGGAGCTCCCGACTTTAGGGCTGAAGATTGAGCAAACCGAGATGCGAGAGATTGAAGATTGACAATTGAAGATTGAGCTCAATCTTCAATTGGTAATTGAAAAACGACTATTAATCTTCAAATGTGGAGCTCAATCTGCCTTGGAGCTCTTACAGGTATGAAGATCGATTACGGAGGGAGAGAGAGAGAGAGAGAGAGAGAGAGAGAGAGAGAGAGAGAGAGAGAATGAGCAAGTTAGGGCTAAAGTGAAGAATGAGGTCCCGACTTTTCAATTGTTAAAATTATGAAAATAATTGGTCTCAAATTATTTTTAATTGATAATGGCGGAAATATTTGGTCCCTAAATGTTAATAATATATTAGCAACCAAATTTATTAGTCTGAAAAAATTATGTAAATATATTAGCAACCAAATTTATTAGTCTAAAAAAATTATGTAAATATTAAGTGAGAATATTAATAATCATTTTTACAATCTTGTAAGTAAATTATCATATGTTTAAATTTGTCCCTAAAAGATTATTTTTAGCGACTAAATTTAATTAGTCCCTAAATATTAGTCTTTAAAAGACTAATTTCTTGTAGTGATATCCCAAGCCAAGCCTAAATATAGTTCTTTGGCAACTCACATGTGATGACCAATTGCATTGAGTGAGCATGTTTTAAGAGTTTTTTTTTGTAATATTCAAAAAAAAAAATTTAGAAAATTGACTCACTTTTTAAATTATTTAGGAAACTAACCTGTTTTTTGAAAATGCGATTTTAAAATTGAAATTACATTTTCAACATGTTATTTCACCGGTGAAATAACATGTTGAAAATGTAATTTCAAAAAATGAAGTCCATGTCATCATAAATTGCATTTTCAATATGTGATTTCAAGATAAAATAACATGTTGAAAATGCAATTTCAATTTAAAATTATATTTTCAAAATGTGATTTTAAAAAGCAATTTAGTTTCCTAAAGACTTTGAAAAGTGTGTCAATTCTCTAATTTTTTTTTAGGGTATTTAAAAAAAAAAACTACCTGTTTTAAGGGTATTAATAAAAAAATATATACTTATCAAGTTATCAACCTCCAACTTTCATCTAATTGTTTAAATTTTCACTCAGATTTTAAAAAGTTAGGGGCTAAATGAAATTCAAGTAAGAATTATAAAATTGTTTCATTCACTCAATTTTTTCGCCATAAATTTCCTAAATGGTGTGACAAGAAAAAGGCAAATTAATGACACACTCCTACACTTTTCTATTCTTTTAAAATCTTTTAATCAATCTTGCCATGTTATTTGAGAGTTTATGAGAAAGAAGTTGTATAGACGTAATACTATTGTAAAAATTAGGGTGAAAATTAAAATTTAAGTGTGATTACAAAATTATAATTCACAAAACGTTGGAATAATGAATGAGATAATGGCATATCCCTCCCCCCCTCCAAAAAAAAAAATGATGGGGTGGCTCTACTCTGCATATGTCTCTATGAAGATTGAAGGTAAAGAAGAGAGAGAAAGCTTTGAGAGAAGTGAATTGGCAAATTTTCAAAATGAAATTTGGGCGGTGCTTTATATGACAACCGAAAATTCAAAATAAAAAATTGCTCACTTATTCGCACGAGCGAGACTTTCAAAAAAAAAAAAAAAAAAAAAAGCCAACTCACTTTCAAAACATAATTTCCTTAATCAACCCAAAATAATCAGAAAAAAATAAAAATAAAAATAAAAATAAAATTAAAATAGCCAACATCTCAAACAAGACTTAAATTGTGTTCATTATAAAAATAAAGAGTTTTATTTCAAAAAATAAAAACCCGCAAGGATTTACTTATTTATTTTTGGTACATCAGAACAAAAAACCAAAAGGATTGTTTTATTATGTATATGATGAGTCGGTTGAAGTACGTTATAAAAAAATAAAAATCACCAAGCCCTTAAATAAACCAATTTAATCATTAAAAAAAAAACACAAACACAAACGCAGTTGAAGCTTTTGCGGACTGGGGGCACCGCGCTTGAAGCGATAACCCTGCTACTCCTCTCTCTCTCTCTCTCTCTCTCTGTCTCTTCAAAATTTTGATTCTGAGGAGGATCTGGTAAGTATACTCACCAACAGAGATCGATGTCGACGTTAGAAATCGAAGCCCGAGAGTGAGTTCCTTTCGCCATTGTTATTGTTATTGTTCTCTATCAAGAATTTCTGATTTTACCTATTTGCATCTGTTTGGTTGTCGAGAAATTGATAAAAAAAAAAGAAGAAAAAAATATTTGTGTTAAGAATATTTCTTCTATGTATTCGGTTGCGGAGCTTCGGTTTTCTCTAGCCCTAAATCGTGAAATTTATCTATGATTCACAATGTTTGCGTTCTTCTCTTTTTACTCGATTTTCTCAGTAACTGAACTGCGCTACATGTATTATATCCGAGTCCTGTGAATTCGTCATGAAGTTTCCCCACCCCGACAAATTTTTTTTTGAAAATTATTGTTCACAAATAGCTTGTTTGGTTGCAGAGCTTTTCCAGAAGTAACGTGGGGTCCTTCAAGTCATAATGATTCAATGGAATTATGGTAGTTAATTTTCACTTTGGGCTCTGTTTTTCTCAAGGGAAAGTAACGCTGTATCTGTCTCTTTTGCACTAGAAAATACTCTATGGAAACTTTGTTTATACTTTATAACATCTTAGGAGGGAAAAAAAGAAGAAGATGAATTATTGTTGATGAATGGTTGATTGTTGATTAACAGTTTATTATGTATTTGTGTTGGGAATTGGCGCTTACATGAATTGTTGTTATGGAGTTATGTCAGTCAAATTTACTTGGACTGCTATTATGTTGATGGATGGTACTTCAAAAAGGCAGTTTGTTGGGACACATTACTATCCCGCGTTATTGCATTGCTACCTTTTGTCAAGCCAGGGAATAAACCATGTCTCTGTTACTAGTTGTGAGTTTGTTTATAATGTTAAATTTGACGAGTTTTTAGGGGAATTTTGTTCGAGTGCTGCTAATAGCTCCCACCAAATTTCATTGGAAACCCCCACCCCCCACCTTCTTTGACCCCCACCTACCTTAATCCCATCTATACCCCCTCCTTCTTTGGATCCCCCATCCTCACCAACCCTTCCTATGGCAGCCCCCCCAACCATGTTCAGTGCCAGCCCACCCCCCCTGTACCTAGCCCCTTCACCTCTGGTAGCCCCGTCCTCGCTCCTCTCCACCTCTAACACCACCTCCCCGACCCCTCTCTAGCATTTAGCCACCTCCGGTGCCATTGCCAACCCTCCCACCTCCATTGCCACCCTTTAAAAAAAAAACTACCTGTTTTAAGGGTATTAATAAAAAAATATATACTTATCAAGTTATCAACCTCCAACTTTCATCTAATTGTTTAAATTTTCACTCAGATTTTAAAAAGTTAGGGGCTAAATGAAATTCAAGTAAGAATTATAAAATTGTTTCATTCACTCAATTTTTTCGCCATAAATTTCCTAAATGGTGTGACAAGAAAAAGGCAAATTAATGACACACTCCTACACTTTTCTATTCTTTTAAAATCTTTTAATCAATCTTGCCATGTTATTTGAGAGTTTATGAGAAAGAAGTTGTATAGACGTAATACTATTGTAAAAATTAGGGTGAAAATTAAAATTTAAGTGTGATTACAAAATTATAATTCTTTTTTGTATTCTGATGGAATGAGGGGTGCATCGGTGATGGGTTGGGGGTGGCCGAAGTTGGTGGTGGTGGTGGGTGTTGAGGGATAGGTGGGTGGCTAGAGTTGGTGGTGGTGGGTGGGAAGGGATATGTGGGCGGAGCTGGGGCTAGGTAGGTGGAGTAGGTTAGGGTTAGGGTTTTGGAGGCAAGAGATGAGGACAAAATTGGAATTGTGTGATGCGGTAAAATTGTATTACAAAAAAAATATGAAGAGGTAGGGAAAAATTGGGTAATATTAGCAAGCATGCTTTTTGTTAACATGTTTGAGTAATAAAGTCTAGTGTAAATTACACTCTTCACCCTCCAACTTCCATTCGAATTTCACTTGGTCCCTCATTGTCTAATTGTAACAATTAGGTATTTGGACTTCAACCTTTGTTTCAATGTAATCCTTTCGTCACTTATTGTTAAAAAAATGAATAGAAAGTACTGACGTTATGGCCATGTGAGCACAATTTAAGAGTATTAAAGGAAAAAACTATACTTCAACTTTCACTCGTAATTCCACTTTGGTCCTTCATGTTTCAAATTTTACTCAAATTTTAAACTTGGCGTGATGAGAGGACTACATTGAAACTCATGTTGAAGTCTAAAGATTTAGTTGTTGCAATTAAAATGTGAGGGGCCAAAGTGAAATTCATGTGATTTTTTTTTTTTTAAGAACAACAGTGAAAAAGTGTAATTATAGTCTAAATTGGCTTCGTAGGTATTGGTTTATATATCTTCATAAAGTATGGAGAAAGTTTATTATGGTTCTTCAATTGGATCTATGACAGTATTGAGAAAGTTTATTATGGTTCTTCAATTGGATCTATGACAGTATTTTCTTCCACTTCAGAATTAATTATTTTGTTAAACATTTTCATTTTCTTTCCCCTGTAAGCTTATTATGGTTCATTAGTTGGGTCAAATGGTGTAATGTTTCCATAATACTCCTAGGTGGTCTTATTTCACAGAAGCTTATGCATATCCTTGGTTAAATTTTTGTTTATTTATTATTATCGTGTTTGTTGCGATGGTAGTTATAAGGCAGTAGTGTTTGCAGGCTACTTTGTTTTTTTCTTTTTTTCTGTCAATTTTTCTTTAGAGTCTTATTGAATCTGTATTATTTTACTTGAAAACTCTGGCAAGCAAGCATTTATTTATTTTTATTCCTCTTAGTTTTTCCTCATCTTTGTCCATGACAATTGCGCATTGTTTGCAATTCTTTCGTTGTTTGGATGCCACAAAAATCTAATTTGGTATGTCCTTTTCATCTTGCAGTGTTATTAAGATAGTTCTTCAATTTTGCAAAGAAAATTCTTTGCATCAAACTTTCCAAACATTACAGAATGAGTGTCAGGTTTCTCTGAATATAGTAGACAGTCTCGAAACATTTGTTGCTGATATTAACAGTGGAAGGTGGGATGCAATATTACCTCAAGTGGCACAACTTAAGCTTCCTAGGAAGAAACTAGAAGATCTGTATGAACAGGTATTCATCTTATGTGCTTGCATTATCTTGAGTTTTGAAGCCTTATGTTATTGGTAACTTAACTTGAAAAAAGGTCACACCCCCTGCACCATAAGTTCCATATGATTCATATATATCATACTCAATGATAACAAACACAACACAGTTCTTCCTTAAATAGTGTATGAAGGGTGTGCATAGGAAAGTCACATTGCTTTGCAGTCATGGCGCTCTGTATGCATGACAGGCAGAATTTGAATTGTGGATCCACAAAATGCGTAAATTGCACATGCAAGGAGTGGGCAAAGCAAAGCATCTGCTCATCCTACGAAGATCATTATAATGATAATATTTTCCCTCAGTCTCCACATTGTGTGATGAATACGCGTGCAACGGGAGCAAAATGTAGGACCACTATGTATTGTGTACATGTGGACAATGACATGTAACTACATGTTAGCATAAGGATTTTACATATGTTAGCTTTTAAGAGACACGTGTTCGGCTTGGAACTATGCAAGGAATTGTTAGCATCTTGTGTGAGCCTAGTCCTACCGTAGGTGGTTATACCGTGCATAGTTATATTGTACATCTCAACATTTGATTACGGCAGAATAACTTAGTTCACCTTCGCAGTTGTTTTAGCATGCCATTTTAATTCACCACCGCTGTAGTTGTATCTAAGCTAAGAGGCAGGGTTTAGGTATGTGAAGCCTTCAATGGGGTGCGGGACTTTGGGGTTTTGTGGCTGGGTGTCTATAGACTGGTGGAGTTGCTTGGCGTGACATCTCCTGCAGGAGTCTCTGCCTTAGTTCAGTCCCACTTGGAGAGAGAGACCGTGCCACCAAGCTCATGTACATATTCTCGAGGATTGAGGCATATCCTACCAAATCAATACGTTTTGACACATGCTAATAGAATTCTAGAACATTCTGAGAGTTTATTACAGATCACATGACCAACCTTCTATAAATATAAGACTGTACTTCTCTTATATCAGATCTACTCTTTACACATCACCTTGTAAAGAGGTGTCATCCCTGCACTTCAGATTCTAAGCCCTATACTTGTGTCTTTTCTTTAGTACTTCTCTGTTGGACTGCACTGTCTCACTCAATCAGTTCCATTGTCTCTGGAGTCCTTGACGTGTGTTTCCACTCCCCAGTGAATCCCCAACTCCTGACATGTCTTTCTACATTCAATTAAAATAACTTACGTAATTATGCAAAAATGGCAGTAAGTGATTTTGTCTTTTCTGGGGGTCAAGAGGTCATTAGGTTGTTTGCTTATGTGTTTTGTATAGTTATTTACATGTTTGTTTTGTATTTATTTTCTTTTCTACTAGGAATTTGTTGAAGTTCTTTGTTTGGAAGCATATGTTTCAATGCAAGCTAGTGCTGTAGAACTTTGACAAACAGAAATTTCTTTGCAAATTTGTGCTTTCCTTTATGGTAATGTCTCCACTAGCTTTTGTCCTAGTGAGACTCCTGGAAAGCCTTGTGGAGATTTTAAGTTTTATAGTCTTCTTTTTCTTCTTTATTTTAACTTCCAGTCGATATAAGAAGACGATCAGCCTTTCTAGGAATTAAAATCCATCCCAAAACTCTCGACCCTTTGATCCTAAAACTCAAGTCCCAATTTACCCACCTTTTTTCCATATAACTTTGGTTTCCCTTTCTGTCAGAATATCTAACAAGTTTTCCTTTTGTTGCTTGCCAACACAGCTTAACCTTATCCAATCTAATCTTGATTTCAGCATTGAACCTTATTTTACCTACCAAACCATATCATAGAAGCTAAAGCTGTGAGCCATGGCAGTTGATTGTATGGATGACTTCATTAGGCTTCGGCCTGCATTGCACCCATACTACCCCAACCAAGCTTATTTACCGTGTCATTCTAAATGAATAGGATGATCTGCTGACAATGACTCTTTACCTAAAAGCACCAATTTGGTAGCACTTTCCCTCTGACCGTTTAGAGGGTTTCTCTTCACACATAAAGCACCTTGTAAGTTTCTTTACTAGCCTGGATACCTTTTCAAGGGTAGAAGACTGTTGAAGTATCAAATAACGAACACTTTATATGATGATAACCAAGATTTCCTGAATTATATGGGGATAGTCTTTTGTTCTCTCTCTCACTATAGGGGTTGTTTTGTAATTTCTGTTGCCAATCGGGATTTATTGTTTTGAGACTAGCAATGTTAGAAATGCTGTTCAAGCCCCCGGGGCATGCTAGGTGTTGGTGAACTATCCTGATTCGTCTCCCTATTTTTCTGCCTGCGCTTGGCTCATGCCCTTAGTTTATGTGTGAGCCAGTTCAATTTGAGTTTAGGTGGTTTAGAGGGGATTGGACCTAAACTCTACAGGAAGGTCCTATCAGTCCTAGTTGGCTAGTTGTTATCATTTGAGGTAGATGAACGAGGTAATTTTTCATTGCATTTGTTCAGCTAACATGTAATGATGTACCTTTTCGCCCATCCTTTTCATTTGCAGATTGTTTTGGAAATGATTGAGCTTCGGGAATTGGATACTGCACGTGCCATATTAAGGCAAACCCAGGTAATGGGTGTCATGAAGCAAGAGCAACCTGAAAGATACTTGCGACTTGAGCATCTCCTTGTTCGAACTTATTTTGATCCACATGAGGTTGGATTACCTTTACTGAGTTCAAACTGTTTCTTATTCTCCATTTTGTGCTCTTCCATATTTTTGTGCATGCTTTTACTCGTGATTGTCTACTTCAGTAGTATTTTGAACACTTGTACGTAGAATATTGGATTTTTGTGTTTTGCTTTTTTCATTTTTTCTTTTGCAAAGGTCAATGCATGAATGGTTTTTTCTTTTTTTTTTTATAGATACAGAAAAATCTATGATATTAGTGGCTACACATTCTGTAAATGGCTTTTTTTGTTTTCTTCTTCAGGGTTTTATTCATTAGCGTATTGGACAATGTTCGATTTTATGTTTCCTTGTAAAAGTTGGTTCTATTGGCTTACATATGCACTGGCAGAATTGGGACTCCCCTATAAGAATAGCTTTGACTTCACTACAAGAAAATTATTGTTGTTGGAAAGTCTTGTACTTATTATTTTAATGTTGATGTGCCTTTTGCTGAAACTACTGCTTTGGACTATTGCAGGCTTATCAAGATTCAACAAAAGAGAAAAGGCGGGCACAAATTGCTCAAGGTTTTTACCCATTCCTTCCCTTTTTTTGGTAGATTCATCGAAATGATGCATACACATTATAACCATGAATGAGATAAAACATAGGGGTAGTGATAAAATCGAGCAAATGATTTACGATGGCTTCATTTTGTTGGAGGCTTCTTGGGTGTGGGATTAGTGGTTTTTCTTAGAGAGGAATGTGGAGACCAAAGCCCCCCTCCAAAGGTAACTTTTTGTGTGGATGATGAGGGAGGCTACTCTTATGATTGAATTTTGAGGAAGCGAGGCAAGTTCTTGGTGGAATGGGGTTGTATAAGTGTTTAGGGGAATTAGTAAATCATCTTTTACTGGTTGTTCAGTGGTCACACTGATTTGGAGTTTGTTATTTGTAGCTTTTGGTAAAGTTTGGGTGACGCCTTGGTTGGTGAAGGTCCTTTTTGCTTGTTGATATAGAGGATGTTTGAGGAGGAGTAATAGGGAGGATTGGGGTGTGGCTCCTTAATGTCTCATGAGAAGCATTTGGAGGATAGGTATTGTAGATCTGTTGAGGTTATATAGAGCTCAATTTGTGCCTTGAAGGGAACAAAGGTGGCATATTTCTTTTGGGATTCAAAGAATATTTTCATTTTCTTTGCTTTGCACATCCCTGTAGATATGTGGTTTTTGTTTTGTTTGTTTGTTTAGGCTTGTATAATCCATTTATGCCAGGTTGCACCTCTTCTAACATTTTTTTTAATGCTTTTACTTATAAAAAATGATTAAATTATATGGATCTGTCAATTCCATATGAGGATAATACGTATGATAGGTAAATCTGTTTCTAGAAGAAGAGGTGGTTTCGGTAGTTACATCTTTAGGAGGTGAGAACTAGGTTCGAATGGTATTTTGATGGCTTTCTTTCAGAAGAATTGAGATGTGGTGGGGATGGTGGTGGGGTATTAAGAAACGAGTTTTAAAAAGATTGAATGCGTCTTTTGTGACTGTAGTTCCTAAGAAGGGGCCATTGATATAATGAATTTTACGCATACTTGGTAAGGTTTTTAAAATTTTTGTAGAGGCTCTTGTATTTTTAATTGAATGAAGTGGTTGGCAAAGTGCTGTTAGAGTCCTAGATGTGGTTATAGAGGCACGTAACTTTTGGATGTTCTTGTGCCAAATGAAAATGTTGATTTTGGGTTACATAATGGAGTTCTGAGGGTCATCTATATGTTGGATATGATCAATTTAAATTTGAGTTTATTGTTGTATGTGTTGGAACCCTGTTTGGTTTTCAGTTTTCAGTTTTCAGTTTTCAAAAACAGTTTTCTGAGTTTTCAATTTGTATTTTTATATTTTTAATGATTTTTTAAAAATATTCTAATCAATTATTTTTAATTTTTAGATTCACTTAATCTTAGTATACTTAAAAAGTAAAAAATTTGTACAAAAATCTTTAAAAAATTCATTGAATACAACAAAATACAAAAATGTATTGAATTTTCATTTTTTTTTTTTTTGGTAATTTTTTGTATTTGGTGAATTTTTTGAATTTTTTTTCATAAATATTATATTTTTGTAAGCGTATTTAGATTAGGTGTATCTAAAAAATAAAAAATTTGTGTAAAATATTAAAAAAATCATTAAAAAGGAAGCACGGGTTCGGGTACGAGTACAGTACGGGTACGAGTGCAGGTACGCCGATTTGGCAAAACTCAAAAAAAGTACAATACGGGTATGGCTGTAGTACGCCGATATTTTTTTATTTTTTATTTTTAAATATAATTATGATTAAAGGATCTAACCTACAAATTAAAATTAAATATGAAAACTAAAAAAAGAACTACTCATTTTCCTATAATTTAAAACCATTAAGTGTTAAAAATAATATTTGTGAAATCTCTCACTTTGACATTTTATCCACTGTGAATTTGTGATTATAATTTATTTTTAAAATCTTTCTTTTTGCTCATCAATTTACTATTTTTATAGGGTGAGACCAAAGAAATAACAGGAGATCAAAGAAAGATTTAAAGTTAATTGCCAACAGTAAAGGAAAAAAAATTCTCAATTGGGGGCAGGTTGTCAATTGCAATTTGCATAATACATAAAATTGTATCATTCTCCCAACCACTACTAATCAACTAATACAGTATCAATTTTTAATGTTTTGTGCATAAACTTTAATAGTTTGTTATGATTAAAGATTTTATAAAGAAATTCTAGGAGGATCTGAAGCAAAAGCATAATGCATAGTCATACACAGAACTATCCTTTATAGGAAAACTAAAAGCAAAAGCAAATACAAATTAAACATCATCCTTACATGCCAACACCAAAAAAAGAATGAGAGCAGAGAGAAGAAACGTGAGCGAGTGAGAAAGCGAGAGAGAAGTGAGAGAGACAACAAGGATACATCAGTTTGACAAATTTTATTACTTAAGCTCTCACTATATTCCTCTTATGAAAGAACTAAACAAAATATTATAAGTAATATGTAACTTCGAGTATCCGATACTTCAAAATTAATAAAAAATTAATTAAGAAGTATCCGATACTTTTAAGAAGTATCTGATACGTATCCGCGAGTATCCGAGGAGTATCGGTATCCGATAAGTATTTGATACGGATACGTCACCCTTTTTGAAGTATCCGTGCTTCATAGTTCCCAACCACTACTAATCAACTAATACAGTATCAATTTTTAATGTTTTGTGCATAAACTTTAATAGTTTGTTATGATTAAAGATTTTACAAAGAAATTCTAGGAGGATCTGAAGCAAAAGCATAATGCATAGTCATACACAGAACTATCCTTTATAGGTCTTGTTATTTTTTTTTGGTTCAAATTGCTTTTTAAAAACATTAAAATCATTTGCTGATATGCTTATACAATTTATACAGACAGGACAACAGAGAAATATCAAAATTACTGAGCTGCAAGGGCACCAAAAAAAATAAAAAATAATAATAATAATTGCTGATCTGCAATGGCAGAAAAAAAAAAAAAAAAACCCTGAAAAAAAAAAAAAAAAAACCCTGACGTACCCACGCCGTACCCATGGCGTACCCGAATGAACCAAATGTACCGGACCCTCTTTTGTCGTACCCGGTACGCGTACCCGTACCCGGTACTCGTACGGCACTATTTTTGGAGTACCCGTGCTTCATAGTTAAAAACAAAAAAAAAAACACAGAAAACAAAAAATTCAATTTTATGGAAAGTGGACTCAATTTTCTGGAACCAAACATTTTGGTTGAACACTGTATTATACCCAGTTTAAAAATAGTAAAATAGTTCACAGTTTTCAGTGAGTTTGAACACTGTATTATACCCTAGTTCATTATACAATTATGAGACATGCATGACCATAAGGAATGTTTTCACATGTGTTTGGTCTATTTATGTTTCTGCACTTTCTTATATATTTTCTTCTATCCCATTTTGTAGCTGTTGCTGCAGAGGTTTCTGTGGTTCCACCATCACGCCTAATGGCTCTAATTGGTCAGGCTTTGAAGTGGCAGCAGCACCAAGGTTACATTTTATTAGTAAATGTTTACTCTATACATATTTTAATATTTACACTATTGACTGATGTTAACCCTCTCTATGGATGCATAAACTTGTACCACAAATGGGAACATGAAAGTTTCCCAATTTACGAATACAAAGGATAATTTATTTCTTTTGATAAATGAATATAAAGGTTTCCTGATGGTTTGGCTGGTGCCTAGATAAAATCTTGATAATGTTTCCTCATCTCTTTCAGGGTTGCTTCCTCCAGGAACACAGTTTGATTTATTTAGAGGGACGGCTGCTATGAAACAAGATGTAGATGATATGTATCCAACTACTCTTGGGCATACTATCAAGGTGCTGTAGATATATCTTTTTCCTGGCACAATTTTCACATCTTCCAATATGCTCGGAATGCTGAGAATGTTTCTTATCACTGTCACATTTAATAGTTGAAACTTGGCCACTATATTGCTTTGGACTTGACCACTATATCTGATGTAGCATTGTTGATGCAAAAATAAGATATGGATTAATTAAAGTTGCATTAGGAGTCTTTCTAAGTATACTGCTATAGATATATTTTATATTTTATTTTGAGATGTTTCCAAGGTTTTAGCTGTGACAATGTTTCTGTTCAAAAAAGCTGTGACCATATTAGGTAGGGTGGATTTGTATGATAGAGTGCTAGGTTTCTAGAGAATAGATAAAATTTGAAATATTAGGGATGGTGGGGGCATAGGTGTGTTTGGTTTTAGTTGCAAATTATGCAAATAAATATGGAATATGAGGGATGTAGGTGATATTTGGACACAAGGACAATGTAGGGTAAAGAGAGGGTTGATGAAGAGAGCAGGGAAAGATCTGAGGATGTGGAGGGACTGGATGTGGTGAGGGAGTGTGAGGGTTGATGGTAATGTTGTAGAAGAGTAATATGATAAGTACTAGTCTATTGTATTTATACATATGGCTGGAGGGTACATGAGGGAGAGAGGTTTGATGAATAATGATAACTGTGAATAAGGGTGTGAGGGGATGACGATGGTGGAAGATGATGGTAATGTTGAAGAAGAGTAGTATTTAAAGTTATAGGTTATTTTATAGATACGTATAAAAACACATTTATAAAGGGTAAAATAGGAAGTTATTAGAAATTTTGCTGACATCATGATGATCCATCCATGAAGACACGAATGGTGAAGTAATGGTATAGGTGATTATAAAATATTAGGGCCACTATAATTAGGCCAAACTCGGCTTGCTATTATTTCTTCATTACTTAAGGGAGGTTAGTGTAATTTACCCTCAATTATTTTATTCTTCCCATTGACTGAGGTGTGGTAATAAATGAACTCTGAATAGGACTTTATGAACAAAAGAGAATGGAAGGCATGTGAAGGGTAATACTACTTTACATAAAGAAATCTAGAGATTAATGGTGAACTAACGGTCTGGGTGTGACTGTAATGTGATTTTAAAATATCAAACTCATGAGGTTCGCTATAATTTCTTTATTACTTAGGGGAGGTTAGTGTAATTTACCCTTAATTATTTTAGTTCTTTCCATTGGCTGAAGTATTGTTAATAGTATTTGAACTCCCACTAGAACTTTATGAAGAAAAGAGAATTGAAGGCATGTGATGGGGCATACTAATTTACATAAAGAATTGTAATCTTTGGTGTGATCACATGCTTTGGAAAGTATAAATTAGATACTTTCTGCAATCATGAGAGAAATTTTGGTTGTGAAGAAAATGAGAGTTTTGGTTAAACTGCTGCTATGATAAAATAAATTTGGATAAAATAATCTATCAGAACAAAGGAAATGAAAACATATCATATTTATGACTTCTGTTTCTTTTATCTATATTTAATAGAACATTTGGTTTAGTAGTTCAGAATGTAGTTTTTCCTTAATAGTTTCATACTTTATTTTTGTTAAATTTAGTTCTCAAACTAATAAAATGATATTTTCTGGTGGTGTTTTCTGCAGTTTGGGAAAAAAAGTCACCCAGAAAGCACTCGGTTCTCACCAGACGGACAGTTCCTTGTTTCTTGCTCTGTTGATGGATTCATTGAGGTATAGAGAATTAGAAATTGCCTCTCCTACAGTTAAGAATCTGTTGATGTTATCTAAATGCTCTCTGAATTTGGTTCGTACCAGGTTTGGGACCACATAAGCGGGAAACTAAAGAAGGATCTGCAGTACCAAGCTGATGTGAGTATTTATTGTTTTAATTGTTTTGCTTTGTTATTTCATTTGTGTTAACATATTTGCTGTAATATGCATAGGTGGACAACATTATACTGCAGTTCTTTGTTTCTTTAAGAAAAATGTCTGAATGAAATTTGTACTTGTCTTTGTATTGATTTATTTAACTCAACTGAACTAACCCTTGTTTGTATTATTTAAGATTGGATACAGAAATTCTCTTTGCTGTTCTTCTCTATCAAAAGGGCCTATCAGATGCTACTTACTATCTCAACTCAAATGATTGTGGTTTTTTTCTGTGTAAAGTATATCTCAATGTTAACAATGTCGTGCTTCATTACTTATGTATGTAGTCACTAGTCTTTATTTCTCTTATGACCTAACTGACACTTTTAAGTTGCTGTGTCAGTGTACATTTTGAACATCAACACTACACTCCCGGACTTGTGTCAAACATTTGTCTAAACATGTTCTATTAAATTTTTTTTTTTAAATCTTTTAAAACTGGAGACACTTCGAACACTTAAGGGACACACTCGTACATGGTTTAGAAATACATAAAACGCATTGTTAAGTTCGGAAAAAAATAACTTTGGATCCCATGATAAAATAATAATAATGTGGATTTATAACTATTAATCCCTCATTTAGACCTTTTACGAATTTTGAAGTGCAAAGCATCCAATTTGTTTATGAACAGAGCTTTCTAAGATAGATATTAGAACCTTTTGTTCACACTTATCTATAAATATGTAGAAAATAAATAATTTATTATTTTGATATATTAAAAATATAATGCATTTGTAGTGCGAAAAATAAAATAATTCAGTGTGTTCGGTTTTAGTTTTCTGAATTCAGTTTTTTGAAAATTGAGTTTTTTATTTTTCGTGTTTTTTTGTTTTTAGTGAATATTTTTTAAAATTTAAGTATTTTTTTTTTACTTTTTAGATGCACCTTACTTAGATGTATCTAAATAGTAAAATATTTTAAAAAATTAATAAATACACAAAAATACAAAAAATATACTGAATTTTCTTTCTTTCTTTTTTTTTTTGTATTATTTGGTATTTAGGGTATTTTTTAAAGATTTTTTTCACAAATATTATATTTTTTAAGTGTATTTATGTTAGGTGTGTTTAAAAATTAAAAAAAAAATTGCTTAAAATATTAAAAAAATTCATTGAAAACATTAAAATATGAAAAATAAAAAAGTATAATTTTCTGAAACTGTTTTCTTAATTTGCCATGTTGGCTTGTCCATATCCCTGTTTGTATCCATGCTTATTAGCAACGGCTCTTCTCCCATCCAAGTCAACCTACTTTTGTAACTGAGTTATATAATCTCCACTAGAGATACATAACATTTTTTATTAACATTGTGTTTGTAGTATTTTGTTTTACTAATTTCAATGCAATGCAGCTTCGCTTCATGCTGCATCTAACATCTGTATTTAACTTGAATAATTTTGAGTACTTTCTATGTCATTAGAAAAAGTGAGGTTTGTTGTCTCTGTGTCATCTTCCCACCTTAGCAAACTCGCTTACTGTAGCTTACACTCTGTTCACCTGGGAAGCACCTAGCCTCGCAGTCTATCAGTGGGATTATCATGGCTATTTTAATTAACTTGATTTTATTATTATTCTTAGAGACACAGTGGATTTGATAACATATGTTGTTTACTTCATTGTAAATGGTGAGTTGGTGCGATTGTATAGCAGACTATTCTCTAGCACTGATGTTGCAAAGTTGTTCAATTAAAATGAGTTTATGATGTCAATTTTTGTGTGCCTTGTTCAATTATTTTGTGGCATTAGAATATTCTACTGTTGTTATTTTTAATTATTTGTTTCCATATAAATGTGTATGTGCTGGATTTAACTTCTTTGTTATTTATTTTATCTTGTCTGTTTTCAGCAGTGTTAGAATTAAATGTCCAATACAAATGCTTCTAATAGTAGTTTCATGACTAAGAAAAACTGGATCCAACATAATGGGATGAGGATGATCTTCTTCTGTTTGGTTAAATTTATAACTATTTCTCTGCAGTCATTGTTAGAATTTTGCATTTACTGACATGCTATTTGCTTTTTCAGGAGACATTTATGATGCATGATGATGCCGTCCTTTGTGTTGATTTTAGTAGAGATTCTGAGATGTTGGCATCTGGGTCCCAGGATGGAAAAATCAAAGTAGGTTTTAAATGTATATGTTTGGTTCTGAATCTTCTTATGCAACTGCTTTCGTAATTTTTTTATATCAGCAACAAAGAAATTTTATTAATAAAAAATATAAAGTGATTTATTCTCACAAAGATCAATTTTGCCTTGAAAAATAAACAGTGATGAGTGAATTTTTTTTTCCTTATAATTAGAAAGGTCAAACAATGAAACATCAAACTATCTATAGTTAAGGAGAAGCATAAGAAAAAGAAAAAATACGTACCTTGGGTTTTTCAAGATATCAGGGTTTTAATAGTTGATCACTGAAACTGATAAACCCTTCCATCCCCAAGCTGTAATTAGCTTACCATGGAACAGATGCCTGAGAGAGTGGCATCAGTTAGATGAATCTTAAAAGTACAGACAAAGGAAGGTCACATGGAGAGATAGTTCAAGTGATAATCATCAAGTAGCTGAAACAATGATATTGAAATTTGTGTTCAAGTGAGTTAATGCTTTGACTGTCTAGTTGAATGGATCTAAATTCATGATTTACTCAACTGAGCGATTTCCAATATTAAAGAATCTTGAGGTCGCCTAGTTATAGGTGCAGGGAATCAAGCTGCCAGGTCTGTGCTGTTTTAAAACATTAGAGAAGGCTCATTGAAACTGATCTCCTGTTAAATTCGTCAACATAGCTTTCATGCTGTTTTTGTGTGCTTAACATAAATCTGTGATTAATATCTTTCAGTCGATTGTCTTGTGTAATCTTTGCTTACTGTCGATCAAACATGTAATTACTGGTTTTTGAAATATGTTAATAGAAATAGTAGCTTTGTTTAATTGGTATTATTGTTGTAGGTTTGGCGCATAAGGACTGGTCAGTGCTTGCGTCGTCTTGAACGTGCACATTCTCAGGGTGTCACCAGTCTCGTCTTCTCTCGAGATGGAACTCAGCTACTAAGCACATCATTTGACAGCACAGCAAGGTTTGGTTGAACATTTCTTCCGTTAACTGTCCCGTCAATCTGTTTGGCATGTTAGTTAGTGCTTCTGGTATTACATAATTCATTATGATTTTTCAGTATATATGTTTTTACTTTTCGATTGATTGGTTTTCTAATCCTTGATGTAATATTTCCCAACATCAAGGATTCATATTATTGATTATATATGGAGAAACATACTTCCTTGTCAATCCCAATTTTACATTGTGCTGTGTTTGGTGTAGAATCCATGGCCTGAAGTCAGGAAAATTATTGAAGGAATTTCGTGGACATACATCCTATGTGAATGATGCCATCTTTACAAGCGATGGATCTCGTGTTATTACTGCATCTAGTGATTGCACTGTCAAGGTAAGTACCTTGGTAATTCATATGGCTTAAGGACCAAAGTAGAAGTTTCTTTGGTCTCCTGTAGAAATAATGGAACACTTAATGCTTTCTGTAGGTTTGGGATGTGAAGACAACAGACTGTTTACACACATTTAAGCCACCGCCTCCTTTGAGGGTATTTCGTTTCTTGTTATAACAAATGCAGCTCTTTTCTATTATAGCAGTTAAACTATTTTGACTTGTTTTGCATTCTCAGTAATCTTTGACTATTCTTGTTATGTTTTGTTTAGGGAGGTGATGCATCTGTGAATTCTGTTCATCTCTTCCCTAAAAATACAGACCACATAATCGTGTGTAACAAGACATCGTCGATATACCTCATGACACTTCAAGGACAGGTATTCTTAAACAGATTTTGGATAGAGAATATTCTTTTAAAATTTTAAAATTCTTATTTATTCACATATTGGGAAATATACGAACTACAGATAAATTTGCAATTTCTTTATGCCTCTGACCCAGTATAGTTGAGATCTCAAATGCAGTGAAATGTCTGACTTGCTGAATTTTTGCTACATACTTGAACATTTCCTAGTTGGGGGTTGCTTGAGCATGTAGCATATTTTAATTTTATATTATACATTTTGCTAATGCTTGTTCTAGTTAAATGTGTCTCTTTAAGTAAATTTCTGGCTTCCCATATTTCGTTTTGGGTTATGTGGTGAGCAGACCACAATGAAGTATTAAATTCTTATTTGTTTCTATGTTTCTGTTGTAGGTTGTGAAGAGCTTCTCATCTGGTAAAAGAGAAGGTGGAGATTTTGTAGCAGCTTGTTTATCACCTAAAGGGGAATGGATTTACTGTGTTGGTGAAGATAGGTATGGCGTAAAGGGCATATTGTGCTTGATTATTATATGAACTTTTGCCCTGTTTTTTCATGCTTTCATTTAGTAAATCAGCCCTTTTGCTCTTATTGTTATTAAATGCCTATATGGCCAGGAGAAAAACCATATTGAGATTTTTGTTTTTTTGGCACTATTGGCTGTTCTACTTCAGGGCGGTGTGCCTAACAACACCACAAGTTAATTACTTGTGAATAAACCTTTTGGATTCTGTTAGAATTTACCACTCACCTACTACCTCCACTATCTTTCTCCACACCTACCACCTCCACTATACCACTCACCTACTACCTCCACTATTTTTCTCCACACCTACCACCTCCACTATACCACTCACCTACTACCTCCACTATTTTTCTCCACACCTACCACCTCCACTATACCACTCACCTACTACCTCCACTATTTTTCTCCACACCTACCACCTCCACTATACCACTCACCTACTACCTCCACTATTTTTCTCAGAAAGATTATAAAGATGAAGTATCATATTATCAGTTGAAAAGAGATGCCATAAATCAATCTCCCTTCTCCTGTGCCATGTCTACAGAAAATGGTGAATTTTTGAAATTTTATTTTAGGAAATGAGATGCTACAAATCATCCTCTCCTTGTCCATGCTATGTCTATGAAATGCAGTTGATACAGTAACTCGTTCCTTTTGTTCTGTTGGTTCCCTGTCTTCTTGTTCATCTCTTTAATGTGGTGGCAATGGGTTTTGTTGTTTGGTGGCCTATTTCAATCTTCCAGTTCATCTTTATTGGATTTGATTATAAATAAGCTTATTGCTTTGGAACAGCTGAGTTGTAAATGCTAGCCTATTTCCATATCCTTGAATTGAATGCCTTGATGTCTTACTGAGAACCACATGCTTCTGTGATAACAATTTTTATGCTTAGAATTGCTACATTTATGGGATTCCTTATTAACTAACTATTTATAAATTTTGTGCAGAAATATGTACTGCTTTAGCTACCAGTCTGGTAAACTGGAGCATCTAATGAAGGTAATCTTTTATTTTTTTGGAGGCCAAGCAAGTGCCACAATCTCCACATTACAAGAATCAGCAATTATGTTTTGAAGTTTGATTCATTCTTAGTTTTATAAACAGGATGTGGTATTAATTGTTAGTTATATTTATTTACTAATTTGGCTTGCATTATGCCGAAATCCAATATTTCTGGCTTGAAAGTGCTCTTATTATTTCTTAATAATTTGGCAGGTCCATGAGAAGGATGTAATTGGTATCACACATCACCCCCACAGAAACCTTGTCGCTACATATAGCGAAGACTGCACGATGAAATTGTGGAAGCCTTGAGAATTCCTCAGTGGTTGGTGTTTCTGCGTTAGTCTAAAACGCAATTTAGGTTGCTTTATTTATTTTCATTTTTCTTTTCTTTTTTTCTTTTAAAAGCTAGTTTCCTACTAGTTCTTTTGCCTTGAGAAGTCCCACTTCTTTTTTTCTCTTGCTTTATTTGTAATATTTTAAAATTGTTTTCTTTAGGTTGTGTTTGGTTGGTGAGGGAAGAGGATGATGGGTTTATTCATTTAGAAAATGGATAACCCACTTGGATTTGGTGGGTTCAAGGCAAAAGTAGTGCTCATTTTGCCCTTAATGTGCATGATACATTCTTTTTGGGGTCATCTTTTTACTAATTAACTTGGATGTAGGTCAACATTAAAACTGACTCGAAATTGTGAGGTTTTTGTTTTGTGTTCAAATTATAATTATTGGGACTAGAATAGAATCAGTGAAAAATATATATAAATAAATAAACTATATGGATGTATTTATTTATGCCTCAGTGTAAACTGGTGGCTTTTGCAGCCTAACAATTAAATTGTTTGACAGCATCAGGACAGTCGCATTCACTATGATTTGGTGTACTACATTTATATATATATATATATATATATATGTTGAAGGGGAATTTACATGGGGTAAATAATTATAAAAAAAAGTAGTAATTTTTGTGGGGGTGTCATTTTTGCTGTGTTTGACAGCATCAGCCTAACACTTTTTACTGTCTCGTATTTTTAATTAATTTTTTTGTCAAATGCCTGAACATGTAGTTTTTCCTATCAGTTAATACCATCTTCTTTTCTTTTCATTTTTAAATTATGATTGTTCTTCAAACAAGTTATCTTTTTGGACAAAATAATAAAATGTAATTTTTTATGATAACCCACACCACTATATATATATATGAGTAATGCAATTCATCACTGTCAGTAGGAGTAAATCTGGTGACAATTTGTTACGATAATGTGTTTTTTTTTTATAATTTAAATGAAGTGGGTCCCAGTAAATTTTTGTTTTGGTGGCAAATTTCATATTTGTGGTCTGTAAAGTAACTCGTACTGTCATACATAATAAATTCAACGTGATGTATGAAAATGCTCATTCTAGCATTAGTTATATTTGTTGCAGATGAAATAAGTTGCGTAGAGTATCTGTACCCGATGTGTCAAATCTAATGCGGTAGTTTAACAGTTCTGTTGTGGCATATTAAATGAACAAAAATGCTTTACATGATGGTGGGTCGCACCCACTATCACATGTGTATTGTGCTTTTTTTTATTTTATTTTATTTTTTATTTTTCATCTCATTAGTTCTAAATCATTACTGATTAAAAATGAATTTACCTGACGTGTTAAAAGGTGATATGTCTTTTGGTGTTATCTCTTTATGTCTTTTCTTTTCTTTTCTTTTCTTTTCTTTTTCTTCAAGTGAAAGAAACACACAAATGAGTTTAAATTTTAAAAATTTTAAAAATAATAAAATAATAAATTTGACATCTGGCGAAATTTTTTTTATATAAAAATCCCAATTTCAAACTATAAGAAATTTTCTTGTGATTTGCCCAATAATTAAATCAACATTCATAAAACATTATTTAAAAAATGTATATATATTTTATCTCGCGTCACGCATCACACGAGTTAACTGACACGAGTTAACTGCAAGTCTATCATATAAGGGAAATGCTAAGGGTCTGTTTGGTAACGTTTATGTTTTCAGTTTATGTTTACAAAAAAATTATAAATTAATTTTTGTTTATTTTTTGTTTATTTTTAGAAAAATATAAACTACAAACGCGTTTAATAATTGACAAAATATTTTAAAAAATTTAAAAATATAAAAAATAGTGAGAAATGGCAAGTGGTGGCAAGTGACGGCGGAAGACGGTGGTGGAAAGTGGTGACGGTGGGTGATGGGTAGCCGGTGGTGGTGGGGTCCGGGCCTACCCCGAGCCGAGGGCAAGCTTCGAGCAGTGGACAAATTTTACACTTCTATCAATGTTAATGTTGACATGTCAATGTGAATATTCACATTATCACGGGTCGGGCCAAGCCCGCCTCGGGCAGCGGTCGGGCTTTGGGCCGCCCACGGGCTGCGGGCCAATTTTACACTCTTAGTATTTTCAGTGTTAACATGTCAATATGAAGAGATGTATGTGCTGGATTTACTTCTGTTGTTATTTATTTTATCTTGTCTGTTTTCAGCAGTGTTGATTAAATGTCCAAATACAAATGCTTCTAATAGTATTTTCATGACTAAGAAAACTGGATCCAACATAATGGGATGAGTGATCTTCTTACTGTTTGGTTAAATTATAACTATTTCCTCTGCAGTCATTGTTAGAATTTTGGCATTTAATGACATGCTCATTTTGCCCTTTTTCAGGAGACATTTTGATAGCATGACATGATGCCGTCCTTTGTGTTGATTTTAGTAGAGATTCTGAAGATGTTGGCATCTGGGTACCCAGGATGGAAAAATCATAAGTAGGTTTATAAATGTATATGTTTGGGTTCTGAATCTTCTTATGCACTGCTTTCGTAATTTTTTTATATCAAGCAAACCAAAAGAAAAAATTTTATTAATAAAAAATATAAAGTGATTTTATTCTCACAAAGATCAATTTTTGCCCTTGAAAACATAAACAGTGATGAGTGAATTTTTTTTTACCTTATAATTAGAAAGGTCAACAATGAAACATCAAACTATCCTATAGATTAAGGAGAAGGCATAGAAAAGAAAAATACGTACCTTGGTTTTTTCAAGATATCAGGTTTAATGTTGATCACTGAAACTGATAAACCCTTCCATCCCCAAGCGTTAATTAGCTTACTGGAACAGATGCCTGAGAGAGTGGCATCAGTTTAAGATGAATCTTAAAAGTACAGACAAAGGAAGGTCACATGGAGAGATAGTTCAAGTGATAATCGGATGCAAAGTAGCGTGACACAATGATATTGAAATTTGTGTTCAGTGAGTTAATGGCTTTGACTGTCTAGTTGAATGGATCTAAATTCAAATGATTCTCAACTGAGCGATTTTCAATATTAAAGAATCTTGAGGTCGTCCTAGTTATAGGTGCAGGGAATCAAGCTGGCAGGTCTGTGCTGTTTACAAACATTAAAAGAGGAAGGCTCACTTGAACTGATCTCCTGTTAAATTCGTCACATAGCTTTCATGCTGTTTTGTTGTGCTTTAACATAAATCCTGTGATTAATATCTTTCAGTCGATTGTCTTGTGTAATCTTTGCTTACTGTCGATCAAACATGTAATTACTGGTTTTTTGAGAATATGTTATAGAAATAGTAGCTTTGTTTTAATTGGTATTTATTGTTGTATGGGTTTGGCGGCATAAGGAACTGGTCAGTGCTTGCGTAACGTCTTGAACGTGCCATTTCAGGGTGTCACCAGTCTCGTCTCTCTCGAGATGGAACTCAGCTACTAAGCACATCATTTGACAGCACAGCAAGGTTGGTTGAACATTTCTTCCGTTAATGTCCCGTTCAATCTGTTTGGCATGTTAGTTGTGCTTCTGGTATTACATAATTCATTATGATTTTCAGTATATACTGTTTTTACTTTTTCGATTGATTTGGTTTCTAATCCTTGATGTAATATTTCCCACATCAAGGATTCATTTATTGAATTATATATGGAAACATACCTTCCTTGTCAATCCCCAATTTTTACATTGTGCTGTGTTTGGTGTAGAATCCATGGCCCTGAAGTCAGGAAAATTATTGAAGTGAATTTCGTGGACATACATCCTAGTGATGAATGGCATCTTTACAAGCGATGGAATGCTCGTGTTATTACTGCATCTAGTGGATTGCACTGTCAAGGTAATTACTTGGTTAAATTCATATGCTTAAGGACCAAAAGTAGAAGTTTCTTTGGTCTCCTGTTAGAATTATAAGACACTTATGCTTTCTGTAGGTTTGGGGATGTAAGACAACAGACTGTTTACACATTTAAGCCAACGCCTCCTTTGAGGGTATTTCGTTTCTTGTTATACAAATGCAGCTCTTTCTATTATAGCAGTTAAACTATTTGACTTGGTTTTGCATTCTCCAGTAACTTTGACTATTCTGTATGTTTTTGTTTAGGGAGGTGAATGCATCTGTGGAAATTCTGTTCATCTTCTCTCCCTAAAATAACAGACCACATAACGTGTGTAACAAGACATCGTCGATAATACCTCATGACCATTCAAGGCAGGTTTCTTTAAAAGATTTTGGTAGAGAATATTCTTTTAAAATTTAAATTCTTATTTATCACATATTGGGGAAATATACGAACTACAGAAAATTTGGCATTTCTTTATGCTCTGACCCAGTTATAGTTTTGAGATCTCAAATGCCAGTGAATGTCTGACTTGGCCCCCTGAATTTTTTGCTAGCATACTTGAACATTTCCTTAGTTGGGGGTTGCTTGAGCAATGTGGCATATTTAATTTTTATATTATTACTTTGCTAACTGCTTGTTACTAGTTAAAATGTGTCTCTTTAAGTAAATTTCTGGCTTCCAATATTTCGTTTTGGGTTATTGTGGTGGCAGACCACAATGAAGTATTAAATTCTTACTTTGTTTTCTATGTTTCGTTGTAGGTTGTGAAAGCTTCTTCAATGCTGGTAACAGAGAAGGTGGAGATTTTTGTAGCAGCTTGTTTATCACCTAAAGGGAATGGATTTACTTGTGTTGTGAAGATAGGTATGGCGTAAAAGGGCATATTGTGCTTGATTATTATATGAACTTTTGCCCTGTTTTTTCAATAGTTTCAATTTAGTAAATCAGGCCTTTTGCCTCTTATGTGTTATTTAAATGCCTATATGGCCCAGGAGAAAAACCATATTGAGATTTTTGTTTTTTTTGGCACTATTGCTGTTCTAACTTCAGGGCGGTGTGCCTAACAACAACCACAGTTAATTTACTTGTGAATAACCCTTTTTGGATTCATTAAGTCTTCTCAAGATAATTTACTTGTTAATATCATACTAAAATTTGAAAGAGGATTGGGAGACAGCTAAGGAAATGTGCTAAAACAGGAACTTAGTCTCAAATATTAGCCTGCCACTGACCATTAAAATAAATACGAAGACGGAATTTTAGCCAGACAATCTATGAGATTTTTCTGTTGCCAGCATCAAGAGAATAATCTTTTATATTTATGAACAAAACTCATCATAATCAGTATGATCATATTGATGCAGAAAGATTATAAAGATGAAGTATCATATTAATCAGTTGAAAAGAGTGCCATAAATCAATCTCTCTTCTCCTGTGCCATGTCTACAGAAATGGTGAATTTTTGAAATTTTATTTTAGGAAATGAGATGCTACAATCAATCCTCTCCTTGTCCATGCTATGTCTATGAAATGCAGTTGATACAGTAACTCGTTCCTTTTGTTCTGTTGGTTCCCTGTCTTCTTGTTCATCTCTTTAATGTGGTGGCAATGGGTTTTGTTGTTTGGTGGCCTATTTCAATCTTCCAGTTCATCTTTTATTGGATTTTGATTAAAATAAGCTTATTGCTTTGGAACAGCTGAGT